GGCCATTCTTCTCCCTTAGCAACCAGTGATTGGCTGTCTGGTATCCTGGAGACCGACGTCAAACTCGCACTGGGAAAAGGGGAGAGAAAGTCTAGGGGGAGGTAAGGTGGGGGCAGAAGAAAGAGGAGCAATGAATGAAACACCCATCGCCTAGCCTTCCCCTGTCGCCTTTCCTTGCACTCAAGGAGCAATTCCAGGAACAATATCAGTTGGGGCGCCGCCTTCCAGAAAATTGTGGGGCCTGCATTCTCAACCTACTATAAGGAAGTTAAACTGCAATCCACCGAGTAGTGGGGAGTCCGCGGAACCGGCCATGTAGACCAGCTTGGGCACAAACCCTCTTTACATGTTAGGCCTAGAGGCTTTGCGCTTTATCGACGCAAAATCTGGTTGTAGCCTTTTTCTCCGCCCGGACCCCAGTGCCCTTCAGCCATCCTTCCTTCCCTTTTAGAAGGAACCCAATTGAAAAGGGATATTTCTAAAGTCCCAATGGGTGTGAGAGGAGGAGGGAAGATGGGTGTGTGGAATGAGCTGAGGGTGGGAGCGGTCAGGTGACCGATTTCATGTTTATTGTACAGATTCCTAAAACTCAAGCAGCGTTTTTTAAGAACATAGAAGTTTTACTCAATGACTCTTTAAATTCTGATTTCTTTTTCGTGTTTGGGCTTTTTTTAGTTGTAAGTAGGGAAGAATGGGGTTTGGTTGTGAAAGTATGGAAGCATTTTAAATGAAAACGCCCCTTCCTTTGCATCAAAGAATTTATAATATATTATTCGTTCAATGTTTCTTTCTTTTGCTCAACTGTATTTTCCGGTTGTTATTTTCTGTGATGAACATTAACTCCTTTTGGTATAAAAAATGAGATATTTTTAATTTTATAATTAGGTGAGCACAGAAATTGCAAGAAACTAGGTAGGATATTTTGGGAATAGCAGCTTACCAAGAGAACCACTTGATTTTTCATGTGCTCCAGAGCATAATTTCTCTTACCATTAGGCAAATAATATTACTGTACCAAATATCCAGAATCCCAGGACCATGTGTCGGGCCATGTGTCTTGATTTGTAATTTGGAAAATGTATCACTATAATTAGAGGAGCATATTAGGCTTCGCTGAAATTAAAATGTCTAACTAAAGATAGATGAATTGTAATTTTGTCAAGCTTATCTATACTTTTCAAAAATTCTCTAAAGGGAAGGCACAAATTCTCTTTTCTGAATGCCCCCTGGGATCTATAATCCCAATTTTAAAATTTGAGAGCATCATCTGATAGTGATTAAATACAAGTGGCAGTAAATAGAATTTTTAAGTCAGAAATTTAGATGTCAAGAATGTATGAGTTATTGCTGCTCAGCCTCAAGGCATGAAAGGGTCCCAAACCAAATATAAATATAAACACACACACATACTTTGAGACCCCAAGCATACTGGAGCAAGTACTGAAGAGCAGGTATTGAGAGATCCGAATTTCACCTGTTTCTATCCCTTTCAGTTCTCTCATCTATTAAAAAGGGTTGGATTAAAAAGTCTCTATCGTTCTGGCCGAGTGGCACGATGGTTAAGAACTGGCTTGGGACGCCAGAGGGCCCCGGTTCAGATCCCACATATGAGGGCCAGTGACACTGCCCTCTACAGCTAAGATGCTGAACAACAGCTCAACCTGGAGCTGGGCTGCCGTGAGTTGCCAGTGACGGCGTAGGCTGCAGCCCCTGCTGCAGTGGGTTGCCATGAGCTACCGTGTGTAGCCAGCAGCCAGCGTGAGGGGCCAGCAGCCAGCGTGAGCGGCGGTCCAGAAGCCGGTGACTGATCTGCCTGGCCGGGGAAGAGCGTAATGATGGTGCGAACTTGGGACAGTGAGGCAACGTTCTCCACAACTAGACTGAAGAACAAAACAACAGCAACTTGTCTGTTCCCCTTCCCCCAATTCTCCAGTACTGTTCCCATGCCCCCAATTCCCCAATAGGAATCTTAAAATAAAAAAGTCTCTATCATTGTTTCAATTTTAGAAATTCCACATTTAAAACTCAGTGTCCCTAAAGTAAATAATGTAGTTTTTTTTTCAAATATAGATTACAAATAAAAGAAAAACCAGATTCATAGCCTTCCACCATTGCCAGTCACAGGTAGACAATTCCCTTTATCCAAGTCTTGCACTTTAAAGGACCCTTCATATGGCTTATTACTATTTAACATTTACTTTGGAATTCCACAGGTTTATGGATATTAGGCCTTAGGCGGTATCAAAACCAACAGATATTCCTCCCCCTGGGCAAGTGTTAGTCACTAGAAATCACAACCGTTGTCTTTCACATACTTGCATGTCACACAATTCCTAGAGCAGTGCCTTACACTGAAAGTAATGATTGTTTTGCTAAAGGAATAAGTTCCCATGTCGTTGGAAATTACAGTTCTTGAAAGTGCCCTGAATTATTACCTCATTCACACATAGAAACACACATATACCCTACCTTGATTTCTGAGAGAGATATATCTTAACCTTTCTAATTCTCACCCTGTTTCCTGATAAACTGAGACAGGATTACAGGAGAATCACCAGCACATGATGTGTATTTATGAAGGCCCATTTCATTTCTAGGGAATCAACTATTGACCTTTATTTGAAATTAGGCAACATCCAAATACAATGTTATTCTTATCGTTATTGTTATTTATTTTAGACAGTCATGCAACATAAATCATAGCATGCACATTTTAAATATTGTTAATAAGGGACGATTGCAAACTAATCATTGAGTTATTAAAAACCAAGTAAACTTGGTTTTTCTAATCCTTTCCTAATTCTTTCTTAAACGTTTTTCAAAAGAAGGCACGCATGACTGAGTAAACCTCAATGTGGTTTCCTGTTGCTTCTCCTATGGGGTAGTGGAGGAGGGCCATATATTCTCCAATAGAGACAGGAACACAGACTTTGTAATTAAAAGATAACTAGAGGGGCCGAGTGGCGCATTGGTTAAGAGCTGGCTTGGGATGCCAGTTCTGAGCAGTAGGGCCCCGGTTCAGATCCCACATGGGGCCAGTGACCCTGCCCTCTACTGCTAAGATGGTGAATAACAGCTAGACCTGTAGCTGGGCTGCCATGAGTCAGCGGCAACGGCGTAGGCTGCAGCCCCCGCTGCAGTGGGCTGCCATAAGCTACCGTGTGTGGCTGGCAGCTAGCATGAGTAGCTGGCAGCCGGTGTGAGCTGCCAAGAGCCACCGTGAGCAGCCGTTCAATGGCCGACGACCGATCTGCCTCACCCGGGAAGAGCACAATGATAATACCAACATTGGCCAGTGAAGCGACGTCCTCCACAACTAGACTGAAGAACAAAAGGACAGCAACTTCTCTGTTCCCCTTCCTCAATTCCCCAATAAAAATCTTAAAAAAAACCAAAGCTAGATACATTAAACAAACCCATTCATCTTTAGAACAGGCAATTCCACTGAAGCAACTTCATCTGATAGGAGAATGTCTCCTTATAACTTGCTTGCTCCCTATTATCTTGATAAATAAAAATCTAAACCAAATCCTAAAACTTCATTTCATTAGCCAAGGATGAAGATTTTGATCTCAGCCACAGGGTTTAGTTGCAGATCCTAGGAGTGATACAGTGTTCACAACATTCTAAGTACAAAGAGCATTAAAGCCTCTGTGAGTTAATGTTATTAGAGTGCTTTAAATATATGAATTCCAGATTTCATCCATTGCACACTCTGTTAAGGAAAATTGAAAGGGCTCTATTGAAATGATACATAAATTTAAAGCATAAATTGCATCTGTTATTATGAAGCCCTGCTTACTAAAATAGAATTACAGTATATATAAGAAATTCTATTTTATAAAATAGATACATGGAGATATAGATATAGATAGATATAGATGATATAGATATGGAGAGAGAGAGAGAGAACATATGGACATAGAGATAGAGCTAGATATATGCCAATTGTAGCCAACGCCATTGTTAGTGCACCCATTTCTCATGCCCCATCCCCTTCCTCTTGTCTTTGTGACTGAAGAGCCTGTAAGAGCTAAATACATATTTTCCCAGCTTTCATTGCCTTAGGAGTGGAATTGTGACACTGCTCTGCCAATGAGACATAAGCAGAAGTCAGCTGGGATGGTTTCTGAGCAAGCTTTGCTTTTCTTATCAAAGGAGCTTGCTCCAGGTACTATTGCTGCATAACAAACTACCCAAAATTTAGTAGCATAAAATACCCATTTTATTATGCTCTTGGATCCTGTACGTCAGGAATTCAGACAGGGCACAGGCAGACGGATAGCTCACCTTTGCTCCACAATGTCTGGAGCTTCAGCTGGGAAAACTCAACACTTCAGAATCGTCTGGGGCCGGACCAGTGGCGCATTGGTTGAGAGTTGGCTTGGGACGCCAGCTCTGAGCAACAGGGCCCCAGTTTGGATCCCACATGAGGGCCAGTGACGCTGCACCCTCTACAGCTAAGATGGTGAACAACAGCTCAACCTGGAGCTGTGCTGCCGTGAGTCACCGGTGACAGCGTAGGCTGCAGTGGAGCTGCAGTGGGCTGCTACAAGCTACTGTGAGTGGCTGGCAGCCAGCGTGAGCTGCCAAGAGCCTCCATGAGCAGCCGTTCAATGGCTGACGACCAATCTGCTTCACCCGGGAAGAGCACAATGATAATACCAACATGGGCCAGTGAAGCAACGTCCTCCACAACTAGACTGAAGAACAAAAGGACAGCAACTTGTCTGTTCCCCTTCCCTGATTCCCCAATGCTGTTCCCCTCCCCGAATTCCCCAATAAAATCTTAAAAAAAAACAAAAAACAATCGTCTGGAGCACGTTTGTCTAGAAGAACTTTCTCCAGTGATGAAAACATGCTATATCTATGCTGTCTAATATGACAGCCACTACCCATATGTAGGTATTGAGCATTTGACATACACTGCCAGTGTGACTGAGGAACTGAAGTGTTTATTTTATTGAGTTTTCATTAAATGTAAATTTCAATAACCACAGGTGGCCAGAGGCTCATGAATTGGACAGCATGGATCTGGAGGCTTCTTCACTTACATGTTTAGTACCTGGGCTGGGATAAACCAAAGGCTGGGCTCCGCTGGCACATCTACACATGGCCTCTGAACTCTCCCTGTGGCTTGGCCTTCTTGCAGCACGGCAGCTGATTCTGAGCGGCAGCATCCCAAGAAGGAGTTTCTGGAAAGAGAACATTCTCAGAGACCCATGTCTGTCCTTTTATGACCCAGCCTCAGATAGTCATACAGCACGGCTTTCACCAAACTCTCCTGGTTAAAGGAATCATAAGCCTGCCTAGATTCAAGAGGAAAGTGCGTAGATCCCCACCTCTTCAGGGAGGAATGTCAAGGAATTTGGGATCATTTTTTAAAAATTGCCACTGGAACACTTCCATCTTTTTCCTGCCTTAGCATGGATCTGTCGGCAGGAGCTGCAGCAACCTTCTTACAGCCATAAAGAGAATGCAAGATAATCACAGAGATGAGGGCTCTGATCCAAAGTGGGAACGGTCTAAGTCTAGTCTACTTTCTAAACCACATGAAGTGCTCCATGACTTACAGCTGAACATAATCGCAGCAGAAGCACCAATTTACATCTTCTAAGGAAAACTGAACTTGATTCTTAAGAAAACAAAAGTTTTTTTCTAGTCTAACATATCAGGGCTTCTTTCTCATTATAAAACCTGGAAATGCTCATTGTACAGAACTTGGAAAACAGAAATAAAGAAGAAAATAGCAACATCTTTCATCTCCCCGCGCAGTGATGACCATTGTAAGCATCTGTTCCTTTTCTTTCTGAATGAGCTTCTACTGTAGATGCCGTTTTGTATCCCACAGTCCACTTAGCATCACATTGCCCCTCTTTTCCCTGACACTAGGCATTGTCATAAGCATCATTTTTAAGGATGGCATTCTATGATTTAGAATAATTTATCTTTGCTCAGCATGTAGGCTGTTGAGAATTTTTTCTGTATTAAAAACAGTCATATTTAACGAACATTTTTATGTGTAAGTCTTTAAGTACATCTCTGATTGTTTCTTTGGGATAATTCTAGAAGTGAATTTACCAGGTCAAAGAGAAGGGATATATATATATATATATATTTTTTAAGGCTCTTAATACTTGTACATAATGATGATCCAGTTTCTAGTAAGATTGTACTATTTTACACTCCCCGTGTATCATCATGTCTGACTCACTACATCCTAGCCAGCATTAGCCACTGAGAATTTTTCCTATTCTTGGCTAATACGATAAGTAAAATTTTAGGCATCTCTTTGTTGTTTCAATTTGCATTTCTTTCATTATATGTAGGATGGACGTATTTTCACACATTTATCAGCTCCTTGAATTTACTTTCAATGAATTTTCTATCCATGCCTTTTCTCCACGTTCCTCTTAGAGGTCTTAGGGTTTTTCTCCTTAATTTGTGTGAGTATCTTGCAGACTGTGTACCGCATATGTGGGTGGACATGATTCTGATCTTAAATTTCACACCATTGCTGGTAACTACTTAAAACATTCTTTTTTGACTTTGCATGTTCTTGCATTGACATAGGATGTATCCAATGTGGCTTCCATTTCCTAGCTATCTCGGCTATAGTTGAGCATAGAAAAATTAAGCTTGATATTAGAGGATCTGTGTTTCAGTCCTGCTCTGCCAGACATTCACTGGGTATAGCTGCATTGAGTCTCAGCCCATTTGCAATAATTATCCTCGGAGCTGTGTGAGAACGAAGCAAGATAATGCCTGTGAAAATGCTTTGTGAGCTGTAAAACTTACATAAATGTTAATGTTTTTTGCCTTCCTACCCCCTCCTCCTTCCCTTCCCTCTTCTTCCTGCCTTTCCCCTCCTCCTCCTTCTTGGTTTCTTATATCTAATGGACATTTCATTCAGCTCAAGTGAGAAAAGATGTGAAATGGCTTTTAAACTATAACCAAGTATTATTAACACTCTCTTCTCTCATACACATTGTCCCCAACTCTGTCATTCCCACCTTCAAAATGTCTCAGAATCTCACTCCTTGGTGTTTTAGATTGTTATTTAATCCTTAGGTTACCCGACTTCCCATGTGTGTAGGACCTGTCTCCTATGTTGGATTGATTGCAAGCTTTTTAGGGCAGAGGCCATGTTTTACACTGTTGTCTATTTTTGCACATGAGCTGTATAGTGCCTTGAAGCCAATCAATATTGACTGAATGATGGCTTTGCTCTGTAGTTGCCTAATCCAATAAAAGAACATAGAAATTTGAGAAAGGGTAAGTGGTTCAGAGTGGCTGGTGCATAGGCTCAGAAGGCGAGGCTCTAGAGAGGAGGCTCTCAGTAATCTTGGGTCAGAAAACTGGGAATTTTGCTTTTAATGGATGGGAAGATGTTGAGTGATTTTTTTTCAGCAGGGAAATGAATTGGAATTCTTCTTGGAACATGTTTTCTTTAGCTCTGAACCCCAGAGCCTAGCACAGTGCTTAGCACACAGGAATTGCCCTGTTAGTGTGAGTTCAATTGCTTCTATCACTCAAGAGTATTCTTCAATTGTGTGATTATTCTAAAGATGAAATATTAATATTTTGTGTTTTAAGGGTGGAAATAGACCCTGCCTGTAGACCAGTACTTCTACCCATCTTGGGAAAAAGAAAAGTAAACAATCCTTGGCAGGGTGTAAGCCAGAAGAAGCTTTGGTCTTGGAGAGCCTTAAAACTTCCTGAGGAAAATTCTACTGGGCTCCAGGAAAATTGTTTTCTCCTACTTCTACCTTTTCTGTCTGTGTTGGGTATTTGTTGTTACCTTAGACAGTATCCACTCCCCTTTCCTGCAGCAACAGTCCTGATTTTTGTTTGAGCATCCGTCTCTCTCTCCCATCCTCCATCCATGTGCTTGCTTCCTTCGGGTTCCAACATCTGAGCTGAAGACAACTACAACATGGCATTCTTCTGGCCACCATGATGGGTTCAGAGATGGCCACTGACCTAATTAGCCTAGCAGAGCCAATAACTCTTAATTCTGGGACTTCTGTTTGCAGTATTGGGGATTAAGACTCTTTCCTATGAATTATGAACATGGAATCACCCATTGTTAAGGCTCCCAGGGCCAGCTTAGTATCATGGGGAGAGAGCCTGTTGAAGAATGCAGCTAACCCAGACAAAACATGGGGGAAAACCAAGTCCTGGAGCCCCTGCATCACCTCTTTTCAGCTACAGGATGTCTAAGTGCGGGTCCCCAAAAGAGCAGAGCCTGAGCAAAGGGCTTTGTGCTGTGACTATAATAGGGAGTGAAATCCCAAGGAGCAGGAGTGAGAGACCAAGGCAATGATACAACAGAGGAGGGAGAACCAATCCATACTGAGCGGGCTGCTGCGAAGTACAATTGTTTGATCCCATGGGCCAGTCCTCCAAGAAGCACATAAACTGCATCCCAGGACAGTCCATCTGAGAAAAGAAAGAACAAAGAATTTGTTGACTGGTTCCCGTCTCCAAATTGTCAAAGGATTTAGATCATAAAACATTAACTCTCCCACACTTGTGAGTTTGGGATATTGGAAGCCAAGTAGGATCCTGCAGCTTGGTGTCAACTGGGGAGTCCCAAGGCAGGAGGCAAGTGACACAGTGTCAGAGGTGAGGAGCTGAATAATTGTGCAGACCTGGTCACAGCAGTGGCAGCTGGAAAAAGAAAAGGCAAGGCCAAGAGAACCTGAAGTAGTGCCTAACAGGTATCAGATACTCATGAGCTAATAATAACTTCCTTTTTGGCTCAAGTCAGTTGGGGTGAAATTTCTACACAGGCAATCTTGTGTCTGCAACCCCTCATCGCCCTACTCCCTGGACTGAGGGCAGCACTCGCTGTCTCGGTCATTCATTTTGGCATGAAAGTGTGTGCTGCCTTTTTTGTTTAACTATACTGCATTGGTGTATGTCCTGTCTCTCCAAGAGATTTGCATTGCCATGAGAGCAGGGCAGTAGTTTCTGCTGCCCTGTGCCTGTACCGTTCACAGAATGCTTAATAAATACAGCTGTCCTTCAGTATCCACAGGGGATTGGTTACAGCACCCCCTTCAGATACCAAAATCCCTGGATGCTCAAGTCCCTTATACAACATGGTATAGTATTTGCATATAACTGACACCCATCCTTTCTTATAGTTTAAACCATCTCTAGATTACTTTCAATACCTAATGCAATGTAAATGCTACGTAAATAGTTATACTGTATTGTTTAGGGAGTAATGACTAGGAAAAAGTCTGTAAAGTGTTCAGTGTGGACACAACCATCGTAGTCCTAACTGCATAGTAAATGCCAGCAACAACGTAACATTTGTTTTCAAATATTTTTGATCTGCGGTTGGTTGAATCTGGGAATGGGGGGCCTGCTCATATGGAGCACTGACTGTATCTAGCCAAACTGACTTTCCAGATTTCTTAAAATTCAGCATTCTGCTATTTGATCATTTGCATCCCAATGTGTTTTTCCCCAATATATGCTGGGGTTTTTTTTTGTTTGTTTTGTTTTGTTTTGTTTTGTTTTGTTTTGTTTTGTTTTAGCTGAGCCATCCTGCTACCTGTTGGCAGCTCAGCGGCTGCTCAGCTCGGGCTGGACTCGAACCGCTGTTGCTCAGAGTTCAAACTCTTGAGTGAGCTCTTAACCAACTGAGCCACTCAGCCGGCCCATGCTGGTTTTTTAACCTGTTAAATTTTATTGTTTGAGCAGTACTTACATAATAAATCACCAGGTGATTTCACATGCTCAGTGGCATTTGGATCCTAAAGTTAAATCATTGTTCTATTCTTAATATAGTTAATATGAAAAATGTTAAATGATATGCAGAATAGTTCCAGAATATTCAATGTTGACCGAAATAGGAGCTCCAGAAGTTAAGAATGGAGAAAAAACCTAGAAGGAAATAATTAAACTGTAGAAAAAAATTGATGTATTAATTCAATAAAAAGGAAAGATTTGAATAATAAACTGACTTAATATCTGTGTTCTTGTAGGATTTTCCAAGGACATTCTTTTCAAATGTCCATGTATTAGTTTAAAATTGACTGTGTGATATATCACAAAGAAAATTTCCATGAATTCCCCAAAGTTGAAACCTTATGACCCAAACTGTCCACAGAATAGTAACACTAGAAATTAACACCAAATATAGCAAAAAATCTATTCACTTGCAGTTTTAAAGCACTTTTTGAAATAGCTCTTACATTATTTCAAAATTGAAATAAAAACTGAAATATCACGTAATTTGTAAATGTCATGTAAATAGGAAATCAAGACTAAAACAAAGGTTACTTTAGAGTAATGACAATGTGAACACTACATGCATACACCAAATTCCTACAGAATGCAGATAAAATAATTGGAGGAATATTTATTACCTCAAACACATTTATTAGAAAATACGAAAAACTGAAACTAAGTTATCTAAGCATTCAACTCATGATGCTTGAAAAAGAGAAGTAAACAGACCTAAGTAAAGTCGAATGTAAGAGTTAATAAAGATAAAACTGAAATGGATAAAATGACAAACATATCTAAAATCAAAAGCTGATGATTGACCAATAAAATAGATAAAATTTTTACAAGTCTGATTAAGGAAAAAAAAAGACTCAAGTTGATAATTTTAGAAATAGGAAGAGAACATGATTATAGAAACACAGGTTATTAAAGAATTAAGAAGGCCGGCCATGTGGCGTGTTGGTTAAGAATTGGCTTGGGAAGTGCGAGCTCTGAGCAGCAGGGCCGGGGTTCGGATCCCACATGAGGGCCAGTGATGCTGCACCCTGTACAGCTAAGATGGTGAACAACACCTCGACCTGGAGCTGGGCTGCTGTGAGTCACCTGCAACGGTGTAGGCTGCAGCAGGGCTGCAGTGGGCTGCCTTGAGCTACCAGGAGTGGATGGCAGCCAGCGTGAGTGGCCGGCAGCTGCCATGAGCTGCCGTGAGCCTCCATGAACAGCTGTCCAATGGCCGGTGACCGATTGCCTCTCCCGGGAAGAGCACAATGATAATACCAACATGGGCCAGTGAAGCGACATCCTCCAGAACTAGACTGAAGAACACAAGGACAGCAACTTGTCTGTTCCCCTTTTCTGATTCCCCAACGTTGTTCTCCTCCTCCAATTCCCCAATAAAATCTTAAAAAAAAAAAACCAGGTTAAAAAAAATTAAGAAAATACAATGTACAGCTGGATTAAACCTCGATTAAATTTACAATCTTATGGAAAATAGAAATTATCTCCATTAACTTAAGAAATAGTATCAAACTTAAATTGACTACTAACAATGGAAAAAATTAGTTTAAGATCTACTCACAAAAAAGAATTGAGAGGGCCAGCCGAGTGGCTCAGTTGGTTAAGAGTGCGAGCTCTGAGCAACAGGATCACCAGTTCAGTTCCCATATGGGCCAGTGAGCTGCTGCTGAGCTGCCAACAGGGAGCAGGATGGCTCAGCTGGGGAGAGAATGTGCTCCTAACAATAAGGTTGCTGGTTCAATTTCCGCCCTTACCCCCACAAAACTAAGATTGAACACGGCACTTTGAGCTGAGCAGCTGCAAGCTGCTGACGAGTAGCTGGGTGGCGACTGGACTTGGAGCTGAGCAAGCTGCGCCCTCCACAACTAAGATTGAAGGACAACAACTTGGCTGTTCACTTTCCCCAATTCCCCAACACTGTTCCCCTCTCCAATTCCCCAATAAAATCTTTAAAAAAAACAAAAAAGAATTGAGGCCAAGGTGGTTTTATGGTAAGATCTTATAGACTCATTCCATGAAGCTGGCATAATGCTGATACCAAGTGGACAAGCATAGAAAAACACCAAAAACAAAAACAAAACAAAAACCAAAGGTTAAATTTGCTTATAAACACAGATTTTAAGAATCCTAAATGAAATATTAGCAAATTGAATCACTGTATTAAAAGTAATGCAAGGATGGCTCAACATTAGAATATTCGTTAATGGAATTCACCACATTAATACACCAAAGAGGGGGAAAATTATTATTTGAATTGATCTCCCTCCCCCCACAAAAACAAAAGCATTTGATAAAAACCAATACCTTTTCATGATTGGACAACAAAAACAAAAACAAAAAACCCTTTTGTTAAATGAAGTTGAGAAGGACACATCTTTAACTTGATAAAGTCTCCATCAGAAACCTATATAGCACATGTTATACTTAATGGTGAAGTCTTAGAAGCATTTTCTTTAAAGTCAGGATTGAGATAATCTGAGTTGATACCATTGCTATTATTAAACAAGCCTGGAGTGCCTAGTCATTGTAATAAGATGAGAAAAGGAAATAAGAGCTATACGTCAACACAAGAGACAAAATGGCTTTAATGGATTATATTATTATTTATACATAACATCCAAGACCGACCCCTTAAAAATGATGGTGGCTTATGAAAGAACTTAACAAGGTGATAAATTAGAAAATAAACATACCCAAAAAATCAATAGCTTTCTTATATAAAGTAATAATAAACTAGGAAATATAATAAAAATATAATTTACATTAATAATAAAAACTATTAGGCACTTAGGAACAAGTTGTTAAAATATATATATAGGACTTATTAAGAAAACTATAAAACTTTATTGAAGGACATACGGATATTGAATATGTGGACAAACAGCTTATATTCCTGGATGAAAAGACTCAATATTAAAAAGGTATTAATTCTCCTCCAAATTAATCCTTACTGACATTACAGCGGGACTTTTTATGGATATGCTGATTCTAAAATTCATCTGGAAAAGTAAATATACATGAATAGCCAAGAACACTTTAAAAAAATATATTTTATTGAGGAATTGTGGGGGGTGGGGGAACAGCATTGGGGAATTGGGGAAGGGGAACAGACAAGTTGCTGTCCTTTTGTTCTTCAGTCTAGTTGTGGAGGATATCGCTTCACTGGCCAATGTTGATATTATCATTGCGCTCTTCCCGGCTGAGGCAGTCGCTCGACGGCCATTGGACGGTGGCTCACGGCTCATGAAAGCTCTCACCCGCTGCCAGCCAGCCCCACTGCAACCTACACCATCACCAGCAACTCACAGCAGGCCAGTTCCAGTCAAGCTGTTGTTCACCGTCTTAGCTGTAGAGGGCACAGTGTCACTGGCCCTCATGTGGGATCTGAACCAGGGCCCTGCTGCTCAGAGCTGGCATCCCAAGCCAACTCCTAACCAATGTGCCACTTGGCCAGCCCAAGCACATTTTAAAATAGAAGAATAATGAGAGGAATACCTCCTTTTATATATCAAGACATATAACAAAGACATCAAAGATATAATAATAATAAATGTGGTATTAATGTAGGAATAATGAAGTGGGTGAGGAAACAGAACAGAGAGTCCTGAAGTGTATCCTGAATAAACAGGAACTTGCCTAATAATAATGATGGCACTTACAATTTGTGGGGAAAAATGGTG